CTTACGCTCATTTCCGTCGCCCACGGCGATAAATTTCCGGCAGAGCACCTCGGACGACCGAATTTCTCTAAGCAAAATACGGAGAGTGACGGAAAGTAGAGTGTAATGATAGCTACGTGATATCGCAAAACGTTAATTAATTACACTAGATATTAAATATTCTTTCTCTCAAATGAAATTTTTGTAACAAATTATATGCTTAATTGTTTTTTGGATAATTTTATCCGGGATGTTATTAACAATATTGTTGTAAATTATACTGTTATTAATTTAAAATCAGTCATTATTATAATATTGATCGGTAAGAATAACAAAGAAAGCATTAAATAATAATAATAATAATTAAAAATAATGATAGAAAATTAGTCCTATATCTGCCTTTACTTTGTATTTTGCAATATTATGACTCCCAATATCTTCCTCAATTTTAAAAAAAATCAGACTTGAGAAAAAAAAAGTTATTTTAACATTACCTTTTTTACATTTTTCTTGATACTTAGAAAAGATTAAAAGATTTATAAAGTTTGCCTAAGTCTGTTTCGAGAATCCTTTTTCTCACTTTATTTTTAACTTCATCCTAAACCGAGGGAAACGTATCAGCAGCAAGGCACGACATTTTACAGCATCGAAACGACTTCGAACACGTTGCAAAGCTTCTAACGTAATAACGTGGTGAATGATATTACACAGACATGTTTCGACGAGGGAAACTTCCTCTCCGAAAGGTTCCTTTTGCTGCGAAATTATCTCTGCTCGATACGGACGGGGTATTATCTGATTATCTGCGCGACATATCGATCATCATACAGTCGATCATTAATTATAGTGCTATCGCGCGCGATCCTGACAGCCGGAAACACACGAAAATGATGACGGATCACCCCGCGAATGTATGCACGTGTGTATATCTCGTTGCTGCCGATATCTCTCTCTCTCTCTCTCTCTCTCACTTATTCTCTCTCTCTCTCACTTTTATATTCTCTCTCTCTCTCTCTCCCTCTCTCTCTCTATACATCTTCCCTTTTACGACAACACCCTCGAGCACGGTAACGCTGTTATTAACAATATAACGCTTTTAACCAAGAAAAACCAGGCGAGATTGTCGTGTAATTATACGTCGACGTGCAAACTATATATATATCTATATTTTTGTATATATATATATTTATTCGTCACACAACCAACGATACGCATATCATATATCGCCATACGGCCCTCCTTCCCCCCATCCCCATTTAAAGATAGACATCCTCTTAACCAGGCATGCCAGTTTCGCTGTATGTGAGAATGAAGCTTTAGTCGTAGTGCATGCTGGCCGTCCACGTGCACCGAAAACCACGAGTTACACGTGATGACGTGATAAAACGAGGCGAACTTTAATGTAACGGCGTTCGACACACGATAAAATGGCATCGATTGAATTATGGCAAATCGCATAATTAATAACGAAATGAAAATGAATTTATCATTAATGAAGACTCTTCATTATCAACAAATTAGTTACTGAAATATATCGATTTATATCGAATTTATGATTAATGACAAAATACCGAATTATCTTCATTAGCATTTGTGACGCATCTTCATATAAAAATTGTTAAAAATATTATAATTATACAATAATTTCGATCTACTTCATTTGAAAGCTAATTTATAAACGGCGATTTTTTTTACGCCAAAGTGCGAAAGTGGAAAATAATTGTTCGTCTCGCTTTGTCACGACTAGACACCAGTTTTCTCCACGACTCACACGATTCCACGAGGAAGAATAGAAACTGTAAAGCTGAACTTAGGGCTTAGATGAAAGATAGATTGTACGAGCAACCGTAGAGAGATCACACAGATGTTCGCAAGACAGCGTTGTGTTTCATAGTCGCAAAGTATGAAATAGCGCTAAAGTTATTCACATGCGGTCCGATCGGGACTCGAGACGCATTAGTGGGTAACGCCCCTTAGATGTTACATACAAAAGTTCCGACGTACTTCCGCGTATTTTGCGCGAGACTCTGCCGACTTTGTTACATACAGTCACACTACGGAAGCGGAATGAGACTCGCGACGATATCCCGTGAGCGTTTTGTTTCAAAATCGATATATCGCTCCGTTTTCGCGAAATTGCAGACTCTATTGAAATTTCGAGTCTCAAATGAACGCGATGCCGCGAAGAACGAAATACTGTCATTCTGCTTCCTCGAATAATGCTTATTAATGTGGCAAATAAATCTGCTTGCATCACGACGATGTTAATCGCTATACGGTTCGCCCAACGTGTTGCATGGGACTTCGGATAACTTTTTTTTTTTCATTTTGAACGACGAGTGCGCGAACATTCGTTTCGATACGAAGCGAGGAAAGTAATTACTGTGATAATCGGATTTACAAGCCGCGGAATTTTCACATTCCTGTCTATCTTGATCACAAATATGAGCGTAGCTACACTCGAACTGATATCCTCACGCAGTAGGGATGAGTTTTTCACGAGAATATTATCATGCCAAAATATTATATTCCATGTGAAAATTATATATTGAAACTACATATATTTAGGAGAAACATTAATCAATGCGCTTTACATGAAAGCAAGTTGGTAGAGTAATACCTATGTAGCGAAAAATATACGATAGAAATATGGTATTTTTACAGCCGGATGGAATAATTTATTAAATATAATTTTTCTTATAGGGAAAGTGATGAATTTAATACGAGATGGAGGAGTGGATCATTGATGTTGGACGGAATATCTAAGGCGTCACATGTTGAAAATAATTACCATACATTTAATAATAATTATTCGCGAATATTTCACGCTCGCGAATCTGCTAGTTCAAATTTGATCGTCCTATTGTTAAAATTATCGAATCATTCTTATTGCGAAGAAAATTATATAAAAGAGTAAATTATCAAAACATGGAAAAATATTCGATAAAATGAAAGATTGCGAGACTATAATACGCCTCCTAATAATAAAATAATATTGAAACAGATAATCATATAGAATTAATGGTCTATTAGGGTTTCTCTAGCAATTATTAAAGAGAGAGAGGGTAACATTGTGGAAGTGAATTATAAACTTTGTCGACGTTTTCTTAGGCAACATAAGCGTCGCTTGACGGTGTTCGATGAATATTTTAATGTCACTCATAATGATAGTCTATTCTGTAAGCTGCAGGAACGTTTTTATATAAATATTCCCATCGTACAAACGTCACTTTTTATCATCTTATGCAAAAAAAGATACGCAAAGCACGATATCTGAGTCAGGAGACATGACGTAGAAGAAGAGAAATTAACGTTAAAATAACGAGATAGGAGAACAGAAGATATATATGCCGCGAATATATGACGATAGTGCTGCTTCTGCACGAGCCGCGACACGTACGACGCCTGTGCTTTTTTACTTGCAAGCAATTATGGATTACATAAAAAGAAGGAAGGAGATAGGAAAAGAGGGCGGATGGGAGAAGGCGATCACAAAATCGTCAGTTATATGCTGTTGTCAGCGGGGGGGGGGGACGGGGTGGGCTCTGCGTTGTTGTTTCAATCTGTTTCGTTATTTTGGCCCGCACCAGCTCGTGTTACGTAGGTGGCAATTAGTACAATTTGGCGCGTCACGGTGGCCCATTGTTCGTGCTTTTTTCCCATGTCGTGTCCGAGCCCACGCGAGCGCGCCATGTCGACGGATAATGGAGCGGTCACGTAGACACGAACGATTTCATCGAGAGCATTACAAGGCGCGCATTACAACGCGTGCGTCTATGGATTGCGGCCCTTTAAACCGCCGAGGTGCAATAATAGCGCCCACTGAAAATACACCTCCGCCATGTTTCCGAACGTCTCTTTCAGAAAATAACACATTATCTCCTCGAATAAATAATTGCTGCATTACTACGCGAATTCGTCCGTTGATTTGACGATAAAGTTACGTAGAGTTAATATATTATTATTTATCTCTTTTGATATATATATATATATATATATATATATATATATATACATCTACGATTGGATATAATTCCAATTGTATTTTATGTCAATTATTGTTAAAAACGAGATCTAAAAATGATCTAAAAATTAAATTTGATCTTTCTATAGCAATCTCTTTATGCGTAACGTCACCATCAGCTGAAAACTACGTGCGAGACTTTGTATATCGTTATTATTTTTTCTGGAATTTTGATACCAAGTGAAACGTACAAGCGACAAGGACGAAGATTAATTTGCGCGAAATTCGGAAGATTGGAGAGGGTGTTCTTAATTATTCGTAATTATTGCACCGTCTCGCTCTGTCCACATGGTCGCGGCGCAAGGTTTCAAGGCGAGAGGGGCGAAGGACCTGTTCACCGACACCTCTCCCTCAGCGTGCTTATGCACTCAATGTCCGTGTACCACAAAGTGCGGCGAAACGCTTAATAATTTATAATGGACGTGGTCGCGGAATCGTCGAGAAAATCCCACGCATCGCTCCGTACCTTGTTGTACATATGTATGCACGTGCCGACGAGGAATGTTCCTTTTTTTTTTCCATACCACGTTTTTGTCTCACGTTAACACCCTCTTACTTTGCTCGATCACGTCTCATTGTTGCTGCCGCTGACAATGCTACTGCAAGAATGGCCGATTCACAGCTGATGTGTAACCCGTCATGCTGGCGATCATTGAGATTTTAATTCTACATAAAGGATTCAATCGCATCGAGTTGTAAGATAGCAGGTTGCCTTGTAGCAAAACTAATTTTATCACTTTTATGTAAACAACGAGACATTGAAGAATATATTCTAATTATATGTCTAATTATATTTCGTATTTGATCGAATAGATATTCGTGTGTACGTAAACTATTCGCGCGAAAAGTAATTATTTAATTTAGTAAATGGCATCAAATTAAATTTCAAGAACGCTAGCGTGTCGCCCGCAGCTTTAACATGTTGCGTAAATTCTAGTTCCGTATCAACGGACACATTAACGGCGATCGAAATTGATGGACTTCTTGTGTTGTATAGGGCAAATTTTTCTATTGTACCGATGCATCGAAAATGACGGAGGACGAGTGTCAGTAAGTTTTAATTATTTACGCTTTAAATTAAAATGATATACAATTTCGTTTAATTGCAAATCTAAGAATTGCGACGCGGAAATTACATAAATATCTTTAAGAAGTATCAGTGAGTTTTTCATATAATAATAATGTGTTGACGAGAGAGCATATACAATCTAAAAATATATTAAATGTAATAAATAAATTTTTATAATAAGATTTTTCACTAATTCACGAAAAATTCGAATCGAAAAATCGAATACAAATCACACGTTCAGAATGCAGTGCAAGAAACTCTCCTTTCCAGGGGTACTTATTTGGAATTCGAAAACAGTAATATTAACAGGCCGATTGTACAACAGAGAGAATGGAAGCTGCATCGTTTTCATTTCGATAACGTAGCCAAGGCGATGTTGACCCTTTTTACAGTCTCGACTTTCGAAGGTTGGCCATCGTAAGTATATTTTGCATTGCGTTTACAAGGAACACCGTTTTCATATTTCTATCAGGATACATTAAATACAGTACAAAAGGCTACTTATGCAAACTTTGCTTTTACAGCAATCTCAATGTCGACACAACAAAGTTTCCATTAAGAAGACCCTTTTCTTATATCTCTCTTTTTTCTGTTACTTTCTTAGATTTTTGCTTTGTTGTTCTTTGCTTCTTTGTCGACAAGTATTCCATCTCTCATATATATTTCAATAAACGCGTAATTTTGTTAACAATATTACGAAAATTAAGAAAATAAAAAAGAAATGAATAAGCAGTTTTAAATGCAAGGTATTAAATAGTTAATGTTGTCCTCGTGTCTATTAACAGACTGTTAGAGTGGTCAATCGACTCGAACCAAGAAAATCATGGACCAATTCATAACTTTCGGCCGATAGTGGCCGCCTACTACATCATCTACATCATTATCATCGCGTTCTTCATGGTGAACATCTTCGTCGGTTTCGTTATTGTCACCTTTCAGAACGAAGGCGAGCAAGAGTACAAAAACTGCGAGCTCGATAAAAATCAGGTGAATCATGCGAATATTAAATTAATTATTATGTTCAAATTGTAATAGCATTAATGTTACAACGAAATCACGCATGATCCCAAAAATATTCTCATTTTCAATTAACTGTAAAACAAACGCATAAAAAAAAAACGTTTATCAAACTGCAATATTTGTGAAAATAAGATGTAATGCAATCTTCATATCAAAATTATTAAATAAAATAATGGGAACATAATGGGAATACAGTATCGCTATGTAATTCCGTTATAATTTTCTTTAACGACAAAATGGTTAAAATTAAAATACTTTGAGATCACACGAGGATCCTATCATGAATTGTTAATAATCGCTTCTTTCTCCAGAGAAATTGCATCGAGTTCGCGCTGAAAGCTAAGCCAGTGCGCCGATATATACCGAAACATCGAATACAGTACAAAGTCTGGTGGTTCGTCACTTCCCAACCGTTCGAGTATACAATATTCACGCTAATTATGATCAACACCGTGACGCTTGCAATGAAATTTTACCGGCAACCGGAGATGTACACGGATGTCCTGGATGTTCTCAACATGGTCTTCACCGCCGTGTTCGCCCTTGAGTTTGTGTTTAAGTTGGCCGCATTTCGATTTAAGGTGCAGATTCGCGTCAATATATCTTATATCGTAATCGTTTCTTACATCTCACATTCGGTCTGAAATGTTTCATTTTTCAATTTCACTTTGTATCAGCGTTAATTATGTTCACAAGCGAGCTCGTTATTAATTTACAGAATTACTTCGGTGATGCGTGGAATGTATTCGACTTTATTATCGTGCTCGGAAGTTTCATCGATATCGTTTATTCGGAAGTTAACGTGAGTATCCGTTGCGCTCGACTTTGATCGAGCACCCGAGGCAATATTCGCGATTATATTTAAGGGGCGGGAAGTAAAACTGTCACTAAACTATTTTGTCATCCTTGCAGCCTGGATCCACCAGCATCATTTCCATCAATTTCTTTAGGCTGTTTCGCGTAATGAGATTGGTCAAGCTACTGAGCAGGGGGGAAGGAATCCGAACACTTTTGTGGACGTTTATCAAGTCCTTTCAGGCTCTGCCTTATGTCGCTCTTCTCATCATTATGCTTTTTTTCATTTATGCTGTGATAGGCATGCAGGTAAGCATGGCCGATCAATGAAAAAACACGTTTGGAGCACGATAAACGGCGATGATGCAAACGAGCGTTTCTTTTCAGGTCTTTGGAAAGATCGCGATAAACGACGACACCGAGATAAATCGCAATAATAATTTCCAGTCCTTTCCGCAGGCCGTGTTAATTCTGTTTAGATCGGCAACAGGTACGAATATTTTATTTGACTTAAGATATTTGGTACTAAAAAATAGAAATGTTACGATTGATCAAACTTTCGAAATAGTTTTCGCTTAGCAGAAATCAATACGCAATTTTTTTCAATAATTTGATGCAATATAATAATTACATGCAATAAAGATATGCACAATCGCAAAGTATTACGTAATTAGCCGTCGAAAGTAAGCGTAACACCACTGAGAAAAATCATGATCGATCGAATATTTGCGACCCGTAGGCGAGGCGTGGCAAGAAATAATGATGGATTGTTCGTCGCAAGAGGAAGTTAAATGCGATGATAACAGCGACGAAATCGACAAGAATAGTTGCGGATCGGACATTGCATTTCCTTACTTCATATCTTTCTATGTGCTCTGTTCATTTCTCGTAAGTGTATATCGTCGTAATTATCTCCACTTTGTATAAGTTTTATTTTATTATTTAAGATCTCCGATAGATATTATAATTTAATTTGCGTACTATGTATCTCGCGGAAAATAGATTATCAACCTCTTCGTTGCCGTTATCATGGACAACTTCGACTACTTGACGAGAGATTGGTCGATTCTCGGGCCGCACCACTTGGACGAGTTTATTCGCCTGTGGTCCGAATACGATCCCGACGCCAAGGGGCGAATTAAACATCTCGACGTAGTAACGTTACTACGGAAAATATCGCCGCCCTTGGGTTTCGGAAAGCTGTGTCCCCACAGGGTAGCTTGCAAGGTTAGCAAATGAGACTAATGATGCTCATTATACAATCTTGGTCATAAGTGTAAAGCGTCCTCAATTTATTTTCTTGGAAAAGGCGTTAATGAAAGTCTAGTCAAATGAGGACTAACAAAATTATTATAAAAAATTATTATAAAAATATTTTTCAATAAAACTATTTTTAATTTATTTTTTTATTATATATAGGACATTTACCTCAACTTGTGGGGCTTTCTATTTATGACCAAGCCTGTATAATTATATAGATTTTAACGGATAAACTTTTATCGTTCGTATTTAACGAACAAACTAAGAGAATGTCACGTAATTTAAAGTAGAATTCAAATTAACGAAATCGTCCCTAATCTCGAAATTGAAAATTCAGAGACTCGTCTCAATGAACATGCCGCTGAACAGCGACGGCACCGTATTGTTCAACGCGACTTTGTTTGCCGTCGTGAGGACGTCGCTAAGGATTAAGACGGAGGGCAACATTGACGACGCGAATGCCGAACTTAGGGCGGTGATCAAGAAGATCTGGAAGAGGACTAGCCCGAAGCTTCTCGATCAAGTCGTACCACCGCCCGGAGGTAAGGGTTTCTCCACCGTAAAATTTGTTTTCTTTCGCGGAATTAAATTTACACTTCGAATCGATCTTTCTAGTGGACGACGAGGTGACGGTCGGCAAGTTTTACGCGACCTTCCTCATCCAGGACTATTTCCGTCGATTCAAAAAACGCAAGGAGCAGGAAATGAAGGACGGTGACAGAGATTGTCACAACACCGTGACTCTTCAGGTGAGTTTTTTTTTAGAAGAAAAATTAACGTAATAAAAATTTAATGACTTACAATTAGAGATGTACTCATACTTGAATATTTTATAATAATACTTGCTACATGCAATTTTAATTTAAAAGGCCGGATTAAGAACGTTACACGAAGCTGGCCCCGAATTAAAACGCGCGATTTCCGGTAATTTGGAAGAACTCCTCGACGACAATCCGGAACCTATGCACAGGGTGAGATCAACGATCGCGTTATACCTTATTTCCCGAAAAAAAGTTTATTAATAATTAAATAATAACTTCTATAATAGCATATTACGCAATTATTTAATATTTAACATTTTCAGAGAAATCACTCGCTCTTTGGCAGCGTGTGGTCCAGCATGCGAAGAGGACACCATTTCCATAGAGCGAAATCGTTGAAGGTTAACTCCGCCGCTGCGAAGGTATATGTAACATTTTAACACAGAGTTCTTTCCAGTCGATCGTTCTAATATCGTAAACTTTCTTACAGGCTTCCCCGACCAATTCCATAGATTTTCTACCATATGCCTCGTTACGGAGGACCGCCGTCACGGATGTCACCAGACAAATCGCTCACCAAATTGTGCCAAATGTAGCGGGGTAATTATTTGTTTCTATCCGTTATTGAATTATTTTAGTCACTTGCGAAATTTCTTAAACGTTCAAAATCAACATTCTACATTTTTATAATTTTACGCCTATTGGATAAATATTAAAGTTTAATTTAAAACGTTAATTGCTTATATATTATCTCTAATATCTTTAACAAAAGTTATTAATTTATCAAACTATACTAGTTCAACTGTATTAATTAGTTACATATTAATGAATTGATGCATAAAAACATAATCCTACAGTGGTCTAAGCGACGGCGCGATGAACCAGTTGGGAGCTGACCTGCGACTGACAGGGGCCGAAGAGAATATACCTCTGAGACCGCTCGCTGCCCTCGGCAATCCGGCGCAACAGACGTCTTACAAAGTGGTCGAGTAAGTACAGAGCGCGTACAGAGTGAGCGAGCGTGCGAACAATAAATTGCAGGGAGTGGCCCTGTGTCTGTTAGATTACTATGTCCGTGTGTAATCGATAGTTATAAAGATCTTGTTGTTTTCTCTCTTTCCCGGTACATCACGTTATAGTGCATGCAGGACGTTCATCAGTTTGATCTTATTTTTTTAATTGGCTCATCGTAACAAAACGAAGTAATCTCGTAAATTTACATAGTCGAAACAGAGCGCTACGTTTTATTTAATTATTTTCTCCTTGTTAGACGCGCGCGATAATGTAACAATTGTATTTTGTAAAAAAAAAAAGGACGACGCGATTTATCAGTACCCCGGTTTTTGAATCTTTGATATTTTTAGGCGACTTTTAGCAAAATTTTACCACTTGCGACAAGTTATTTCGCCTCTTAGAGCGGACCGATTCGTATCATCTCTCATTATCCCTTACGCTTTTCTGTTTACTATCGTACCGTTTCAGTGGATCGGGTAGCGGTAACTATCTCCATCCCAATAGCGAATATGGTAAGACAAGTTAGGGCGATCAGTAGCTGGCTTTCCATCATTTTTTTTCTTTTTGTTGATACGCATTGCTTGCTCTGCGCGACTGCATGTATTTTTCATTAATTACACCTCGAGAATCCCGTTCAATTACATTTTCACGAGCAATCGGAAATGACATTCACGTAAATCGATTAAACGGGAGTCGATATGCAAGATTACGAGGATAATTAGACGCGCGGGTCGCACATGTATCTCGAAGAATGCAAGAGGGATGCGTTTGGGATCCGCGCGTAATAACATTTATGCCCGGCTGATCGCATGTTGTTTGTACTACTACTACTAATTGTAGATTATCGCCGCACATTGACGATAATGCTTGTTAAGCACCTCCAAATGCCTCGATAAAAATATGGCTTATATATACATGCCAGTTTCCTTCAAAATACTATTTTTTTAAATTATCTTCAATTATTTTACAGTATGTCTCTCCTTAAGAAATCTTGAATAATTAAAATCCATTACAAAAAGTGAAATAAATAATAAATGAAAGATTTGAAATGGTGCGTGAGAAGAGGAAAAAGCTTTTCTGCATTGGAGAGACACGCAATCCTTATATTTATTATTTCAAATTAAAACGATTAGATTTGCTGTGATATCTATAATGTTTGTGTTAAGTAAAATATCTCGGGGCTCTTGGGGGTGCATAGGTCTTCTGCCATACGTATACATGCATTAACGTACTAAGAACGGCCGTTGCGCTTTTCTTTTCTTCCCTCGCCGTCCTATCCCGCGTGTGCGTGTGCACGCTCGTGCAGTCTTCAGGACGGAATCGAGCGGCAGTTGACGCCACCCACGCCTCCGCCGCGACGGAACCCGCCGTCCTCGTCCACCGGCACCCCAACCACCGGCACCGCCGTGCACATTCCTGCTGCTGCATCGGCAGCAACGGAAACGACGGCAGCCACCGCAGCAGCATCCGCGGCGGCCGGCACGACGAACGGGTCGAGCGTCGCGACGACGACTATCACCGCGTCGTGCACCACGAGCGCGAACACCTCGACCACCGCGACGAGCTCAAGCCCCGCTTCCTCGTCAAACGGGACGAACTGTTATTATACCTACGCGTCGCGGGGCTGCTGCGTCGATTGCGCAGTCTGGAGCAATCACGGTACGGGAACGCCGGTTTAATGAGTCGCAAAGACTGTTCTGTCGCTGTGCTGGCGGAGGAGACTAATGACCTATCAATTTACTTTATAATTTATTGCACTTATCTAACGATATTTAAATTCTCTTGGATATTTAATATAAATAAAATAATGAAAAAATTGGAACTTGCTATCAAAATTGTTGTAGGTGTGATTGGAGTTGCGCTAAAAATAAACGAATTCGTAAAATTATAGAAAGATAAATCATATACGATACATAGTTAATGATAGAACTTCATGCAACAAAATTTCGTCGCGTTCGCCAGCATAGTAAAAGACCGACTTACAAAATAGACGCGTTTAGGCTTGTGACCCATTGATAAAACGTCCCCGTGTCCTCGCACGTAGCCTTAGATGATGATGAGGACACGTCAACCGGAAGCGGATCGAGCGATTCCGGCAGGTGGAACCCGCATTCGGAGGGTGGCGTAGCGCGGGGCACGACAGGGAAACCCCATGTCACCGTGCTGGGCGGCCGGTCGTCGAAGCGCCGTGCCAAGGCCCGTCGCGATGCTGCGACCGCCGGTGGCAAGTCGGCTCCAGCGAGCTTCCGGTCGCGGGATGCAGCCGCTGAAACCGCCACGGCGCCGGCGGCCGGATCCGCGACCGGTGCCACTACGTCGTCGGGCCCTGGCTCGCGCACCGTCGCCAATGGCCTTAAAATGGCACAGAACCAAGCGATCGCCGTGGCCGGCTTCCTCGCCAATGTCGACTCGCGACAATGGCGCGTCTGCGCCTCCTGCTTGTCACACCGAGCGTCGTCCTACCACGGCAGAGGTGACTAAAGCACGCGAATGAATCATTTGCAATCGTATACCGTATAGGCAGCGATCGCAAATGATTAGTATCAATATCAATACACGCTCGAATATCAGAGCAATAATTTTCGTATTTCATTATATTTAAGATTTCATTAAATTCATTTTCTTGAATTATATATTTATGTTTCAATTTTCTCAGCAATTTATTTTCTTGAATTATATATTTATGCTTCTCTATCTCCTCAATATAATAATTCTTAATATTTTTCTTATTATTCTAAAATTTTCTTCAAAAAAGCACAGAATTATTAGATATTTCTTTTTTAATAAAAGAATGAGTTTAATTTTCCGTTGGTAAAATAATTAAAGTAGTCAAAATAATTTTATCGAATGAAAATCGAATAAACCTAACATGTAAAATCTACAAAAGCAGACAGCTTGATTGAGTTAAGGTACAATCATTTTTCATTCGAACAACCCCTGCACAATAAAATCTCCCGAGAGAGAGATCGACACAAAGAACATACGAAGAGAGACGTGGATACGAAGCAAAGTGTTGCTCAGGTGGTCAACCGCTGCTCGAAGCACGCGTTCTGTCAGCTTTCGAACTAACATTCCTAACAGTCTTGTTACCTAATGCTTATTCTTAACTGCAATTCGATTTACACCTAACACCAGTAATTTCGCGAAGCTTGAGAAAAGCACTTCGTGTGTCACTAAATCAGTTTGTGTGCGCTATGCTCGCTAATGCAAAAATAGCCTCGGTAAAAATGAATCGAAAGCGATAAGGAGGCAGGGTGTGACTGATTCGAGCTAACACTCTGACGCCTCTCCTCGTTCGTCAGTTTCCTGGACCAGAGAGAGTAACGGAAGCGTCGGCGCAGAGCGCCTGTCCCACAGTATGCCCGGCAGTCCCGCGGACCGGAAACCGAATTTTGAGGTCGTTGGAAGCGCGGAGAGTCTCGTCGGTCGGGTGAGTTTCAGAATGAGAGACAACTTAAAAATAACAAATCGGTTTCAACTTTCTGATAACGTCCGCGCTACACGTCGTATGTCTTTCAGGTCCTGGTGGAGCAAGGACTGGGGAAATTCTGTGATCCGGATTTCGTACGGTACACGTCGCGCGAGATGCAAGAGGCGTTAGACATGACGCGCGAGGAGATGGACCAGGCGGCTCACCAGCTGCTCCTGCAGGAGCGACGCGGCCAACCGTTGACCTATCAGCTGCAACAGGGCGCGGAGCAGCAGCAGCAGCAGCAGCAGCAGCAGCTGCAGCCGTGGAGCGGCCAGCAACAGACCACGACCGGCATCGGTTACCAACCGTTACAGGACCAGCCACCGAGTCAGCCGGTCTATCGCCAGCTGCACTCTTCCAGCTACCGTCATCGCGACAGTAACCGGCAGCAGCAACAACAACAGCAGCAGCAGCAGCCGCAGCAACAGCAGCAGCAGCAGCAGCAGCAGCAGCAGCGACAACCACCGTCCTAGCAGGACGAGAAACTCGCCGCGACGCGAACGTCGTCCACGTAACCCGAAACTTCCTACTCCCCCTCATCGGGAGTAGTCGCCGAAGGACCGAAATCGTCAGTTAACATGAAGTAACTGCGAGGAATCACCGCGATCTTCGACGGGATCTGAATCGATTGGCGCGTCTTCGATGGATTCAGACTGCGTGGGATTCAATCGTCATATTGTTGTTGCTCGAAGAGCGACAAAGACGCTTTGTAAACTGTTCTGAATATGTATAGTTATAGTTAGATGCGGATCGAGAGATGCCACTCGAGAGACAGAACGCCGGTTTAGTCTAGGGAAAAGCGAAGTCGCGACGGAAAGCGACCGCTCGTTGTCGGGATGTCCACTCCGTGGTGGTACGCCAAAGAACGTGTATTTTCGTTCGAGTGAATATTTTCTAACCAGGCGCGGTTGTTCATCCGGCACTTTTTGAGTCAGCTCGCGATTCCTAACTTGGCGCGATATCTCGGACGAGATGCGTGCGAGTTGCGATACTGCGGAGCAAGTTGCTGTTTGTTTAGGCACAAGGATCTGTAGACTTTTAAGATGTATTTTCGCCACGACGGAAGATCAGGATGATCCAAGAATCCGTCGCCGCGCGGAGCTTCGTTTTTTGAACGTCGGACGACATTAAAAAATCGACGGAGCATCCCGGGACTTGGGCTCCCGACGGAATTGAGTTTACTTCTCTAGAAAGTCCTCTAGAGATTTGCCATTGTTCCCGTTTAACGTTGATCTCCGTTTTCGGTTTGACTCGTGATCAAGGGCGAACGCCGCGTGTACTTCGTGCAGAAAATAGACGAATTAAAATGAAAGAAAAAGGAAATTTTATTTTATGACACTAAATTTTTCTCATTATCAATTTTAGCGGTTTGACATTTTTGAAATAGCATTTAGTTTAATCTGTATAAAAGGCGTTTGGGAACAATTAATTAGAAATTCAGAAAGTAAATTTCTTCCTTTGCACGATTATGAGATTAAAGTAAACTTCGTGTCGGTATTCAAAAGAAGTACAGAAACTGAGGAATATTTAAAATTAAATTTAAAACTTTTCACGTTGAAAATTAAGTCGAATCTTATATGGAAATGGATTTCTCTAAATTATCTTAA